CACACTCACCTTGGATCCAAGGCAGGTGTCAGCCTGTCTTACAAACCACATTAGGTGGTCCGACTCGTAGGTGACTTGCGATACTTCACACAGCCTTCACGTGATAGTAGCACTTGAGCATATTTGTTTACACCCAGCCTATCGTACATACCACATTAGGTGGTTCTGACTCGTGTGTGGGAATTGGTTATGAGCTATAGGTTCAGCCATACATGTCACGTTAGGTGACTTTGACTGATATATCATTTTATATTGATTTACATCACTTGGCTTACATAGTTATTATTGAGATACTTGACATGGCACATACTGTGGTTTTCATTGCTCTCAAACTTGATTTCTATATACGTATATATTGTTATTTTCTGGGAAATTATACAGGTTTTACGGTGAGGGGTTATATGTTTTGAAAGTGAAATGGTTTTGAAATGTTTTATTTTTGCCCACTCACATTTTCTGTTTTCCGCCCCTCCAGGATCTAGTTAGAGGTTCGTGTTGGTGGTTCATGATGATTCTACGGCGGTTCTGACAGACATCCATCAATGTAGGGCTTTTCTTTCATATCTTGTATAATTAGTATTTAGCTTGCTGGACTGCACTTGGGTACCTATGCTCTGATTATGTGTATCTACACTCTAACACTTCCACTCGTACTTTTATACTAGTCTAGTGTAAATTAGTTAGTTTGGTTTTTATTTACTCACATTATCTTATCACCTTCACTTCTGCACAGCGCATATGGCTACGTCACCCTCATGTGACGGCTAACATGCCTTGATTTAGGTCGGGGTGTGTCAGTATACAATTATGGTACAAAAATATGATAAGAATAACATTATTGATATAAAATCTCTACGTTGTAGTATTTGCAAGCATTTGGGACTTTTATTACCATACGAAACATCTTTAAGTATATCCAAAAAAACAAAAGAACATAAACAAATATTTTAATAAGAGTTCATTAGTAATTTCACATTGAATTTTACGTTTGTTCCACGTTAGCCCCTAAACAAAAGAACATAAACAAATATTTAAGAGTTCCTTAGTAATTTCTCATTGAATTTTACGCTTGTTCCACGTTAGCCCCTCATGTCTTTTCTTTGGATCCTAATCTTTAAAAATAGGGGTGTGATATCCATACACCTCATTTTACTTCTCACACACCCTTCTAATTTTTGGCCGTCGGATCGGATGAATTAAAGAAGATCAACGAACAGAAATTAACAAGGGGTGTGTGAGAAGTAATTTAGGGTGTGTGGATAGCACACCCCTAAAAATATGGTAGATGAGATAAACACTGTCAGCAGTTACAACAGAAATAGCGGTGGATATAGTTCAATTCGGCCAATTTTTGTTGGAATGGACCTTGGTGTTGACTATGTCGCTCATGAAATTTTTTCGGACCAACACCAAATTGTTACAAATTTACATACCACAAAAGAAAGATGAAATACATAGAGAGTGGGACACGTCACATTCTAGGTTTGACTTCTGAAGCTAGTGAATCACATGATGGTGTGCAAAGGGAGACTGAAATGTCTCTATAAGTCTTCTCGGTCATTGAAAAGGTGGTCTACCATGGAGAAACCACCGGCTGGTCTCTTTTTTTCAAAAAAAAAAAAAAAAACACAGAGAAGGGGGTGTGACATTGGTGGGTGCAAATTAAATGAGAAAAGAAGAAGAGGAGACAAGGGTTCTAGATTGATGAAATGTTTTTTCAAACCAATGTAACTCGAAACAAAATCACTCAAATTGGAACACATCTAAAAAAAATACATGTAAATTGAACTAATCATTCATAATTGAGGCCATTTTGATCAAAATAGTTGGGTTACCAAAAATCTTATTTGAAAAAGGAGTCACGTGTGTTATTCAGCTAACGAAGTCAGTTTACATCCTTATTAAACACACTTCTGAAGATTATGGATCAATTTCGAAAGGATCAAATCGAAAACATCCCAAAAGTTTGGGTGCAAAATGTGAAATTAACCCTTATGATGAGTGCCAGCAATTGCCATGCTTTCAATTTTTCAAGTTTTGACAAAAGAAAAATACCTTTTTATTTTTTGTTTTTTATTTTAAATACATTATCGCATACAGCAAAAAGATCTCCAGCAGCCTCTTCTAACTGCAGAGGTTGTGCATCATGAGCCGCCACCTACCATTACGTCTACGTGGGCACTCTCCGCAGTCAAGTCAAACCCACAAGCTTTGACCGGAATTCTTTTGCCCAATTTCCACGGTCAAACTTCCCTGAGCTTCTCAGAAACATCCCAAAGTGACCAAAATACCCTCCCTCTCTCCTCTCTCTCTCCTACGGTTGTGACTTCCATTCAACCCTTTAAATTGCCATCCTCACCCCTCTCGTTTCTCTCTCACAGAAGCCAAAAACATGACTTCTTCCTTCACGAACCTCCTCACAAGCAACATGGAGAACAACGGGATCGGACAGGACAGGACTAATTGGGGGGGACAATTCTCGGACTATTCGTCTAATCCGAACCGGTTTACGGACAGAAACGGGACTGAAATCCCCAAGTTCAGATCACTCCAGCCTCCTTCTCTGCCTCTCTCTCCTCCCCCTGTCTCCCCTTCTTCTTACTTGGCTTCCACGCCAGCTTTTAGTCCCACCGATTTTTTCAGCTCACCCATGTTCCTCTCCTCCTCAAATGTAAGCTTTACAAAATTCATATGCTCTTAAAATTTCAATGGTTTTTTTTTTGTATGTTTATTGATGGGTTTTTTGTTTCTGCAGAATCTTGAATCTCCAACAACTGGAGCTTTTTCGAGTCAGATTTTCGATTGGGTGAATAATAGTAAGGACACCCAGCAAGGAATTAGGGAAAGCGAGCCGAAAATGTTCTCCGATTTCTCGTTCCAACCGGAATCGCGGCCTGCAACTAATCTTCAATCTGCTTCTAGCATGGTTTCAGTGGTAAGAATTCTTTACTTTGTTTAAATTTACAACTTAACTGTAAAGTTTGAAGCTTTTTTTTTGTTCTTTTTTTCAACCGCGATTAGGCGATATCAGAAGCTTGATGATTGTTTTTGTTTGAACAGGAAGAACCATTCAAAAGAGAAAGGCAAGCGTGGGACTTTAGTACAACAAGGCAAGCTGATTCCTCAGCTGAGAAGACAGGAGTCAAGTCGGAATTCGAGCCAATTGAAGCGAATACTCAGAGTAATGGACTTAATGGTGCTCCCAAGTCCGATTACTTGCATTCTACTCAATCTTCGCAATATGGTCGAGAACAAAAATCGGATGATGGGTTCAATTGGAGGAAGTATGGGCAGAAACAAGTGAAGGGTAGCGAAAATCCGCGGAGTTATTACAAGTGCACGTTTCCGAATTGCCCGACAAAGAAGAAGGTTGAGAGATCATTGGATGGACAGATTACTCAAATTGTGTACAAGGGTAGTCACAACCATCCTAAGCCTCAGTCTACAAGAAGATCAAGCTCGAACGCAATTCAAGGTTCTTCGTATGTAATCTCCGATCAATCCGTTCCAACGTTATCCAATCCGAAAGTTGAGTCCATCACACTGCAGGAGGATTCTTCAACCTCAATGGGAGAGGATGAGTTTGAACAAAACTCTCCAATAAGTAATTCAGGAGGAGCTGAAGACGAAAATGAGCCTGAGGCGAAAAGATGGTAAGTTCATGAAAATTTCTGATTGGGATTTGCCAATTTTGTATGTGTTCATAGCCAAAACTTTATAAATTCAATTTTATTTGACTTATTTTTTTATATTTTGCAGGAAGGGAGAAAATGCAAATGATCAAGCCTACGTATCTTCTGGTAGTAGAATTGTAAAAGAACCAAGAATTGTGGTGCAAACAACAAGCGAAATCGATATTCTGGATGACGGGTATAGGTGGAGGAAGTATGGACAGAAAGTAGTGAAGGGAAATCCGAATCCGAGGTAGAAACCCTATCAATGCGTTTACTTTAATTACAAGCAAACCCTTTCGAAATCAGCTGCTAATTAACATTTTCAATTGTTTTCCCAATCTTCAGGAGCTACTACAAATGCACATCCGTGGGTTGTCCGGTGAGGAAGCATGTGGAGCGAGCATCGCATGACACAAAGGCGGTGATCACCACGTACGAAGGGAAACACAACCACGATGTTCCCGCAGCTCGTGGGAGCGGCAATTACAGCAATGCAAGTAGACCCGCTGCCGATAATAGCAGCAACAATGTGTCCATGGCTGTGAGGCCCTTGGCATTGCCCAACCATTCTAATTTGAGGTACCTCAACTCTCTTCAGAACACAAGGCAGCCATCAACCACTGAAAGCCAACCGCCGTTTACACTCAAAATGTTGCAGAGTGAAGGAAGTTATGGATTTTCTGAGTTCTGAAAGCAAATGGATAGCTCTGCAAATCGGTTACAATGTTACGCGAGGATGTGTCTTCCGGTCCAAGGAACCGAAGGACGACGCATTTTTGTCATTTGGGATCAAATCAGGAGGCTTGAAAGATTAATTAGGGTTTTAGTGTGTTGTTGTATAGTTCCTAAGTAGTTGTCTAAGGAGTAATTAGTATTGCATTTGTTTATTCTTTTTGCACCATGTTGTAATAGTAAGTCTAAACTGAAGAGAAAATAACAGGTAGAATGATATGAATTAGGAATTGTTCAAGTTCCAAAAGCACTTTTTTTCATTAGAAAAAGCAAAAACAAACCTAAAGGGCTGCCCAAATAATGGAAAAGTGAAATTGTTTCTGCGCTAATAGGCTTCCCATTGCTCAATATGTAATTCCAACTCTCTTTTTTCCTAATTGGTTTTTCAAGAACTCTTTACATATACAAAATACACCACTTCTTTCAACCTCACTTTTAACAAAGAAGTTCAGTAGAGTAGTCTGATTACATGGTTAGTCGATCACTTTCACAAAAAACACAAGCATTCAACTCAAAATCAATCGTCAATAAGTAGAGAAGCCCCAAATCTTTTAAATGGAAAGAACTTTTGATTATTATAAAAAAAAGAAAGAATGGCAGAATCCCTTTTCTAAAACTTTCTTATTTGACAGAAGAAAAGTATACATCTTTCTACTGATGTGTTAAACAAGACACATATCTCATCATATTATTCACACTACAAACCCTAATGAAAATGCCTGAGACAATCACCTGATGATCTAAACTCCAATCAAAGATGAATTAATGTGCCTCCTAATTACAACACATTTGTGACCATCAATGAAACTATATGGCGCACACAAACAATAAATCCTGAAATCGAAGAAATTAAGCCCGTAATAATTTATCAAATGTAAGATTGAGTCGATAATTTGTGACCGGAAATTAGAGCTGATATTGCAAGAGCAACGAAAGCAAGAAAGGCCATGCTAATGGCAGATGCTGCAGCGTCTGTGAATAGGTTGTCTTGATAATTTCTCATGCTATTCGTCAATGGAATCGCTGACGATGACGATGATATCAGTAGATAAGCCATAATCTGCAACACACCATCAACGCACAAATCAAATTTTTGTCAATTATTTCATTTGTATTTCTAGTTTTTTGTTTTTTGTTTTTTGTTTTTTATTGTAAATAGTAAAGACCACGGAATGTACCCACATCCGAAGGGTGGGACTAATCTCCACTCGAGATTCGACTTGTCTCTGACCATAAAGTGCTCTCAGCTTTCGAAACACTGCCAGAAAGGCACCGGGGAAGGTGGCATATTGCCAATCGCACACCTTGTGGTTTATCTCTAATTTTTGCTAAGTAGTGGTTTAGCTTTTTTGCCTAGTTGGCACTCACATATGAAAAAAGTCATGGTCTTTTTTCGTGATCAGAAATATATCTACGAACGTCCGTTTCATAGACAGACTATAACGAGAAACTTCTTTTCTTAAATACTTTATCGTCATGATTGGAAGCTTCTTTTCTTTTCTTTTAAAATTCTAAACAAATTCGACTCAAAAAAAAAAAAAAAAAAAATTCTAAACAAATTGCTTATTCTAAACGCATTTTTGAAAAATGAAGGATATGAAAAACAAATTACCTGATCGCCGATAAAGTCAGCCAACGCCGACGTCCGTTGCTGAAACATTTCTGTGCCGGTGGAAAGCTCGTGGGCATGCCGGAATGCTTGCGCCCCGGTGTACAACGTCGCCAGAATCGCTATTGCCAACACATACCTATCAAATTAAATCACAAAAATGATTTAACAAATTATTAATCGCAATGAATATTCAGATTAACAAAATAATCACCGAATTTGATCAATTTAATTGAATTATCACCCACCTGTATTCTTCATATTCATCGAAATTCTTCCCATAGCCGTGTTTGTTGCTGGCCATGATGATGAAGGCCAGCAATGAAAAAACCAGAGCAAGTCCCCTCAGAGCCAGAGACCCTCTCCTCAACAAGTCCTCCCTCTTCCACCGTCGCAGGATCCCCGCGACCCCAAACCCCGTCCCAGCAGTTCTGATCTGGGACGGGGTCTGATTCTCCACGTCAGCGGCCGGTGGGCGCGTTGGGACAACCGGGGGCGGTGATCCGACCTCTTGTTCATCGAATTTCGGTGGTGCATCGTCTTGATTCTTCATCGACTCTGCCGGGGAATGAATTGGAATTGGAGGAAAGACAACAGGATTTTGAGGAATTGGGAGTTTTGCCGAGTGACAGGGCAGCGTTTAGTTTTGGCGTGCCGTGTGGGAATCACTGCGCTCACGCACACCCAACAGAACCAATAGAATGCGTGAGTGATCGGGGTAACTTTGCAAATGGGAGGACGTGGCAGAGTGATTGGACGGCAGGTACACATATATAATTAGTTGGTGGACTGCGTGGCGATTGTAACTAACTAACTTCCTTCCTTGGTGACAGGGTGTATAAGGACTACAGCTGCTGCTGGTGCAGGCCAATGGTTCCAGATGATTCCAAGATCGATGATGATTGTTTTTGTAGAAACCAAGGTACGGACAGTCTGTCCCTTCATCATTGACGCATGCAAAATATTACCATGTGATCAATCTATACATTGAACAACGGTCGTTAACATATTAAATTAATTTGAATCAAAGTTCAATTTATTTTCGATGAAATTAGTCATTCATCTTCGACGAGTGGCTCGAGGATGCCTCTATACATCACTGCAAGAAAAGTGAGCGACACGACAACTACCCCATATAGTGGCTATTTGGGTGTTTTTGCTGGGTAACAATGACGTTAAAGTATATTGTAATGTATTAGTCATCGTTGTGGTGTACTTATTATTAATTTTTTTCTTTTATCACATACAATGACGTTAAAGTATATTTTAATGCATCAGTTGTCGGTTTTGCGGTGTAGCTATTACTTAGTTTTTGACTTTTTATCACATATTTTTTTATTGACAATATCATTATTACCCCAATAACAGTAACCAAATATATGAGGTAATTGTTGCTCATTTTTCTTCTTGTATGCATACGTAAAACATGATTGACCACAAAAGCCAGTTTAAAAGGTGAGAAACGTGTATGTATAAAAATGCTTGTGATAAACAGTTGTAATCGAATGATTAAAAGGTGCAATTTATAATTAGCGAAATCATAATTTCAATTCCTAATAGATGCCCATTAGTTGATTAGTTCAAACTTCAACCCTCTAATTTATTCAATGAACTTGTAAACACGAAATTCATATGACAATCAAACAAGAACACTTGTACAAAATAAATTTTGTATTAATGTAAATGTAGAGTTACAATCTCTGATTAGGAACCAAGACTTGATTTGAGACTTGATTCGTGATTTTCACTTCATCAATAAATCAATCACATTTCATCCTTGATTTGGCATTTTAAATCAATTAAAATGGAATTAATTGAGATAATTCCTTAATTACTTTCCAACAAGTGTCGATCCGTGTCACAATTGATGACTTGTCTGATTTTGATGAGGCAACATGTCATGTGTACGATTTGTGAGACACATGATGCATGTAATGTAAGCCCTAACGCATCAAAATTATAATATTTTAATAAATATTTATTTTATCGAAATTTACATGTCTACAACACTCTGATTTATACACAAACGAATTGGCTTGCAAGTTGTAAATAAAATGTGGCATCCAACTACAAGTTTTGCTTCAAAGTATTAATATTATGGTTGTCAATGTCTACAGCGCAGCAGCACCAAAGGAATTGGTAAGCACATGATCTGTTGACATATTCAGCTCTTCCATCCAACCAATGGAAATACCACATAAAGAAAGAAAGAAGAAAAAGGCACGTTCACATTGCGATTATCTTCTAGCATATAGTCTTTTCTCCTTAATTTTGTATAATCGTGTTTAACGTGGGGGAAATTTTCGATCGGTGTGTTTGATCACGTCAACTGTACGATCATTTTAATAAATAAATAAATAAATTTATAGTAGGGCATAGTGCCCCAAGTAATAGTAATAAAAGCAGTGAAATGACATGATTGAACCGCCTCACCTTTTCTGACCAAAACTGGAACCTGTTAGGGACTTAGGTTAATACATAACAGTGTATAAAGCCCACTATAGCATTACTAGGCTAGGCCCAATCTTGTTGTCTTAGACTAATGCGATGAGCCACTGTATTCGTTAAATTAGGGCGAGCCCAGGGTAGGTCGTTCAGCGCCCTCTGACAATAATTTTGATGTCTTCCTCGCGTATGTATAACATCGAATCCATACGATTTCTAAAAAGGCTTGCAAATCGTCGTTTGCTTAATAGGCAAACGATGGATTTGTAATCTTAGGATTAGTAATCATTTCTAAAAATCGTATGAATTCGATCTTATAAATACACAAAAAAGATTTCAAAAACCGTAAATTTTACCAGCGTCAACATGCTTATCACATGCATCAACAGTCAGAAGTCACTTACGAGCGCAACCGACCAGACATAGCATACATCTGCCTGTTATTCGGTATGCTGTGAAGGGGTGTTGTGCCCTTGTGGCTGCATCCAAAAATTTCTGATACGAATCCGACACCTATTATTTACTAGTTGAAAGTGAAACGCCCAGGTCCACCAGCATCCAGACACCAGCTCATTTGTGGGTCATAGACATCTCATCCACGCACCTGAAGGTGGCTGAAAGGTAATCCAATTCCAATTGATGTTTTTTTTTTTTTTTTTTTTTTTTTTTTGAGTACAATGATATATTTTTACACTAAGGAGAGGGGGAGTTCGGCTAAGCCATACAATGGGTAACCTAATTTGGTATCAAATTCACCGTCAACGAAATTCGAACCTAATACATCTCACTTACAAGTGAAGAAAAATAACATTATACGGTAGTTAGTGGCAATTCCAATTGATGATTATTCGTGAAAGGCAATCTGAATAGAAGCAATGGCCATCAATCACCGGCCACTCAAGTGAGCATATTACATGTTCTATGTGTTATCATGTTTTTGTTACAATTTGACGAACTGAAATGACTCATCTCCAAAATATAAATTTAACGTGGTCAATCCATGCGTTAATTACAACTTGCAGAATGTTAAACGTGTAAACATGAGAGCCTGCGATTGACCTCATGTAAGACTTTAGGGGGCGTTTGATAATCATTTTGTTTTCAGTTTTCAGTTTATAACCTTCCGTTTTCAGCATGCAAAATTTTGGTTTATGACCTACCAGTCATAGATCACAAGGAGTTTTGAAACTCTAGATTCATTTTAGGTTTTTAGAGCAAAATTTTTGGTGCAACTGAGTAATAAGCAACGAAATAGACAAGCATAGAAGTATAATTTGTATATACATCCATTGGAGCCCAAGTTTGTCTCCTTCTACCCTATGTTTGGATGAGGAATTTTTACGAAATTTAAGCTAAATTTGTCAAAAATGCACTTCAAAAATTTAGACAAAGAGACTTAAATAACTAATTGCACTACATTTGATAGAACTTTCAAATGACATCATTAAACGTGTCAGATTCAAAGTCCCTTTATATCTTAATTTGTAGTGTTTGAGTAGTTCGTTACTGTCACATGGTACATCTAAAAAAGTACTTTGAAAGTCCCTCATCCCAACATATTTTCTGATTCGCTTGATTTGGATTAGTCATTGATGAGGTTATAAATCCCAAGGAAAGAGACCGAAGATGTCTGTAGGTAGCAAAGCTGCTGCATCTGCCATTGCTAGCTGGACAAGGATTGTATGCCCTCCCGTGTCCTCCTGTTTGTGTGGTCACGGTTAAGCCACGTCAACATTTTATATTACTATTCATTTTTTTTTATTATCTTTATAAAAAATATATATATATAATGTTGACATGGCTTAATCGTGATCACACAAAACAGAAGGGTACGGGAGGGCATCGAAAGTGGGAGGGCATACAATCCTTGTCCTTGCTAGCTAGCTACAAAACTGCGTGCATGGCCAAAGTTTAACGGTACTGTATCACGAGGCGAGTCCCAGCTGCTGCAAAACAACAAAAACGATCGATCGAGAAACATTCAATTGCATAATCAAACAGGGAAAACGTACAAATGCTTCGGATCGATGCGTAAACGTGATGTTGATTTCTTCTTTATCCTCCAATGGTTCTGAAAATGTTCACATGGGATCCTCCATCTTGGGCACATGGAATCCTCCGCCATGTTTTCGAAGGGACAAAAATAATGAATTAGGTTCTGTGCAAGGTAAATGTGCAAACAATAAGGCCTCGTTTGGCTGTTATGAATCTATGATCGTGTTAGATTGGATAACTTGGTGGAGCCAAAATTTTAGTCTAGTGGGGGTTCAAATGTCTCAATTTAAAATGATCTTCTGATCGTACAAAAATTATTATGTGAAGTGGTGAGCAACCACCAGCATCGTTTGGGTCGGTACGGTGTCGTCCTCATGATCCTCTTTATTAAACCTAAACCCCAAGCCTCTCTAGCTAACTTTTTCCCTCTCTATCCACTGATCCCCAGAAGGGCCAGATCAAAGTCCTCATCAAAGCTCACAACCTACAAACAACCTAAACTCCATAGGAGCCACTACTCTCATATCAAACCCGATGAAAAAAATTAAAGTAAAAATGTCAAATTGAACCCTGAGCCTACGAAAAACCTTAAAAATCATAAATATAACACTAAATTTTTCTGCGTGAGAAAATGTTAGGATGGGCCTGGACCATCTTGGTCCCTTTGTGGCTCCACATCTGCTCGTTATGTTAAAGATAGTTTTTGAAAGAAATAAAAATATTTTGTCCAACATGAAAACAGAAGATGAATTATGCATGAAGGAGATTTAATCATCCTTTTGATCCCCTTAATATAGTAGGACGAAAAGAGAATTTTATTCGTGTCAAATCTCTTACTGCCCTCAATCAAATGAAAAATCATTCACCTCTAATTTTACTAAAATATTAAATTATATATGAATTATCAAGTTCAATTCGAATCTAACACCAAACAAGCACCTGCGAAAACTAAAATTAAATATGTATCGGTGGTTTGTTTATGTGATGTGATCATTAATGTCCAATACTATAAAGTCGTCGCTTGAAATATTGTTTATGAATATAATCTACCTACTTAAATCCAAACAAATGAAAGAACCCGTGAATGATGTCTGTGATGTGGAAGGTCTTGGGTTCGATGATTTGAGCTATTGAGTGTGTTTGATTGTAGCTATAGGTATGATAAAATTCTCCATAATTTCTCCGGACACAGACTGAATAAATAATTGTGACTTATCACTAGTTGTCCCTTAAAAAAAAATTAGTGAATGATGTCTGTGGCCAGATAGGATGACATGTATATGTGAACAACCCTATAAAAAATGGAAAAGGCACATATAGTATGCAACTATGCATACGTTCGTCAATGCTACCTGCAGCATGCATGTTAATAATTGTTTCCTTTTTGGTCAAACTTGTTGATAACTCTCAACTTATACCATGTCCAATCCTCAGAGTTAA